TTATTATTATCGTTATTGTTATTATTATTATTATTACAAAGAAAAGAGCAAGACATGCTGTAACCCTCTCACTTGTTATCCCTCCAATAATTACAGCAAAAGCCGTGGAGTGACAGCTTTTCTGTGATTTAATTACATTTTYAATGCTCTTCAATAAGCAATGGTCAATGCTGGAAAAGGAGGGAGGGTGGGGTTTGATGTTTTTGATATATTTGATGTATTTGATTTGATTGATTTGATGTATTTTAAGAGCAAGCAAACGAAAAGTAGAGTTTAGCTGTTAATTAGAAAGAATGAAGATTAATAATAAGAAGTTACTGGTAGTTATTAGTTCTAACTAACAGCAGTGGTGATAAATGGGGGTAAAACTTTGTTTTCATCAGTTCTTGGAGCATGTGAGGGGGCTGAATCCCTCAGCAGTGTCAGATCTGGGAATATTTGCGGGCCATCAGATGAGACATCCACGTGGTGGCAGCATTGCCATTGCCTGCATTTCCCTGCCCTGCCCTGGTTTATCCCTTTCAAACCTGCTTCTGTCTCTGGGTACCCCTTGARTCCAATTTTGGGATAATTTGGGACCCAAAAACCCCATTGCTAATTGCCTGGCCTYCTCAGTGGCTGTTACAGATGATCTCTGATGTGTAAGTTCCTCACTGTGCCATCCCAGGCAGGTATTACTGGCCCTAATTTCCTCTTAATTTCCTTAAGGAAAAGTTATTTTCTTTAATTTCCGTGCTTAACTTGGTGCTTTTKGCTGCTCTGCTGATGGGAACTGCTGCTGAGCTTCACCTGCTCTCCAGCTGGGCTTCCCTCCTGATCTCAGCATCACCAGACTCTTCTTTTTTCCCCAAAAATGCTAAATAYGGGATCGTGAGGTTTCTGCCTTTGTTCCCTGMTGGCTTTCTTCAAGCTCTGCCATTWCRGGATRCASTCCMTTGTSTCTCTGCTCACCTTTCCTTCATCCCCACCACCTCCTCCCCAAGTTCCCACCTTTATCCTGAGCAAATCCAGAGGTGATTTTCTGTGTCAAGCAAATAAAGGTTGTAAGGGATTACTCCAAAACCTGCCTTTTTCCACGTCAGGACCCCTCATTCTCTTTCCTGACCCCAATTCCCCTTCCTGACCCCAATTCCCTTTCCTGACCCCCTGATTTCCCTTGCTGACCCCGATTTCCCTTCCCCCTACATTTGTTTCATTTGGGGTAGGATTGTTTATCCCTTTTGCTGGAGACTGAATCTGCCYGAAACAGGGACATGTCAGCTGTAAAATGTAGATATTTTCCCTAATAATAATAGTTTTATTAGCATTATAAATGATATATTTCAGTATTTTGCTCTTGATTGTTTGCTAAGGAAACAGCAAAGCTCCTGGATGAGATGAGAGCCAGGCAGTTCATCAGTGATTGATTTCATCCTCCTTTTCCTGTCCCTTTCCAGTGCATCCGCGGCAGGAAAGCGACTCTGGAGGAGCTGCAGACGGTTCACTCGGAAGCCCACACGCTGCTCTATGGCACCAACCCCCTGAACAGGCAGAAACTGGACAGCAAGAAACTTCTAGGTATTGTCCCTGGGGGGAAATTGCCCTTCCTGACCCCCTGATTGCCCTTCCCGACCCTGATTTCCCTTCCTGACCCCTTATTCCCCTGCCCTTCTATAAATRGAAAATAAATTCTATTTRTATATATATAATATACTTATATTATATAAAAAATGTATATATTTATATTCTATTATATATTTATATTATCTTTCTATAATTATTATATTTATCTATTTATATAATATTTCTATATATTCATATATTATATAGCACATACTGAAAATTAATCTTATATATTTTATATTTATATATTTTTATATGTCATATTTATTGTTTTATGCATTCTATGTAATATATTTTTATATACAATTATATGATAAAATATGTGTATATATTTTCATATATTTGTATGAAAATATATTTATGATATATTAAATGGTATGTAATGTATTATATATATACTATATAATGAATATATATAGTAATATATATAATGAAATATCATATCTAGTAATGATATAATAATATATATAATGAAATATAATATATAGTAATGACATACATTATATATATTATATATATATCCATAATAATTATTTTATTTCCTAATAATTTTATTAGCAAATTTCCTAAAGGATGGGTTTTGAGATAACCAAACCACATGGATATTTAGCACCTCCGTGGAGTCATCATAGCCTCCCTTTACTTCCTTTGTTTTTGCAGCAGGAGGGGCAGTTTGGGAAATTCTCACGTAGCGATCAGGGGGAAAAAAAATAAAGAAGAAAAAAAAAAGAAAGAAAAAAAAAAGAGAGAAAAAGACAGTTCTGGATCCTACACGTTGAGAAAGTTTATTTTGGGATTAGGCTGACTTTGGGTGATATAAAAAGAGGATTAACTCCGTGGCCTGTGTGATGTAGTGGCCACAGCAGAGAAGGTGGAAAAATTTGCTCAGCGTGTCAGGAGCTCCCGGAGAGGGAAACCATTAGCTGGGAGTTCAAGGTGCAATTAACGCTGGATTTGTGGCTCACTTGCACCTCTTTAAAGCCAAGAACCCCAAAGGAGACACCTCCAGCTGAAGGAGAGCTCCATTAGGATGGAAACTTCCAGGAATTTATTATGTCATGAGCTTGGGAGTGGAAAACCCGGCAAATCTTCCCTGGGAGATGTGAGGAGATTCCCTTGGGATGCTTCTCCACTCCTTCCTTGGCTCTTGGCACCATCTGTCTCCATAGTTGCACAGAGCTGCAGTTTATTTGATAGCATTATTATTATTATTATTATTATTATTATTATTATTATTATTACCCATTATTTGGAGAGCATTTCTTTGGGAATACCCGAATTGCTGAGTGATTCCTAACAGTTCCTGTGGAGAACCTCTGGGGGAAGCAGCTCCTGCTGTGCCTCTGCTCTTGTTGCTCTTTAATCACTCGTTTTAAAGGGTCTGTAGAGATTCAGTCCTGTAGAGAAGAGAAATCCCAACACCTGAGGGCTTTCCAGCAAAAAACATTCCCTGTTGGGATGTAACTTGCAGAAAAATCCCGGAGCTTTGGGGTGGGTCAGGTCCCCAAGGATTTCGGGTGGAAGGGGATGTCCTACGCCCTTACCTGAGCTTAGACCTACTTTCCTGAGCCCACYTGGCTCCATTTCAGCCTCAAAATCCCCAAAATGGCACTCACATGAACCCTTCTCTCCTGCTGGCTTCCACAGGGCACCTGAGCGGGGATATCCAGGAAAAAACTCCAGTGGAGAGGGGAACACACCTGAAAAAATTCTTCTTTAGCCATCCTCTCSCTGCTGGCAGTTTAAAAGGCTTTTAAATTTACATAGGGTCCTTTTAAACAGGTCAGAGGGTGGATTTAGGGCAGGTTTGGAGGCTGAGGGCACAGCTCTGTGGGATGTTTAGGGATGCAAAGGGCAGGTTTTTGGGTCTGGGCTCTTGGCAGGTGTCTGATGGCTCCGTGTGAATTCTTCACCTTTGATGTGTATGTGGGGAAGAAAAAAGGCTGGGAAATCTCAGCCTGGAAGGGAAAAGCTTGTGAGGCTTTCCAGGACACAGGATGATCCTTGTTAGGCTTCTGCAAGTGATGAGGGGGATCACGAAATGGAATGGTATCACAGAATCCCAGGATGGTTTGGGGTGGAGGGAACCTTAAATCCCATCCAGTGCCACCCCCTGCCATGKCAGGGACCCCTCCCACCRGMCCAGRGTGCTCACACAATTCTGAATGGAGGATGATTTGCTCACAGCCAAGCCCAGAAACCGATGTTACATTTCCTACGGATCCAAAATTAGCCCTGCAGATGGTTTTCTCTGTTTTTCTCCAATTGTCCTCGTTGGTTTTGCTATTTCAGTCAAAACACATGTTTTTTTCTTTGATTGCCACTGGTTTATTTTTCTGTCTTGTTCTTCTATGAAGCCCATGCTCTCTGAGGTAGTCCAATAACCGCAGACAAGTGACAATTGGGGTGTTTTTATGTTTTCCTGTCCTCTTTTAGTGGGGAGGGGTTAAAAGTGTTCATTTGAGAAGACTCTTGGTGGCATCTTCATCATTTACAGCCTTGAAGCATCAGCCAGCACCCAAACCTTGCATAAAAATGAACAATTTACCATGGTGTGTGTTTTGTGATGGAGTTGGCTGCATGAAAAGGGGAAGGAAACCCCAGTCCCTGTTTCTGTGCTCGGAAAGATTGTGGCACCACCCCAAAATCAACCCCAGAATCCACCCCAAAACTCACCCCAAAATCTGGTGCCCTTTGACTTTTTGACGTTCTTTGTCCCCCCGCAGGTTCCCTCACGTCGATGTTCGTCAGGCTGCCTTGCGGTGGTGTTGGGGTGAGTAACTGCCTTTGATGTGTAAATAATGCCCTGTCTGTTCTCCTTTTGGGTCCCCAAAAAAAAATCCTTTTGGGGATTTCTGCTTCACATTCCATCCAGGGGGTAATTGCCACCAGATGCTGCCCGTGGGCACAGCAGGAGCTCGGCCTCACGTGCCTTTGSGAAGATTTTGGGGTTATTTCATGTGTGGCATCCAGAGGCACCTTTGGGGTCTGGTTTTGGGGAGGAAAAACCTCATTTCCCAGKCAGGGGAAACCTCATTTCCCATGCAGAAATATTCCCTCCCTCATACTCTGGAGGTGTTTGACCCCCTGAGCCTCGAGACTGCAGAGCTGCAGGTGGAAATAGGCTCATGGAATAGTGGAGGACAATATTTGAATGGACAAATTAAAGGACAATATTTGGGAATACACATATTTCCTGTAAAGAGAAAGTTTGCTGCATCACTGGAATGAAACAGTTTTTGTCTTTGGGGTTTTGCATTTTTTATTCTCCAGCTCCAAGAAAATCCACGTAGATTCTTAAGGAGGTGACCACATCTTTCCTCCATCCCTCATGGAAAAAATGAACATTACTTTCTAGCTGTCAAATTTCCATATAATCCAACTTTTTGTTGTTGTTTGTTCCCATAAAGCCAAAAAACACCCCCAACCSCAAATACCTTGTTTTGAAGGTTTTCTTGTTTTCCTTTGAAGCCTGAAAGCTTCAAAGTTTCCCTTTCAAGTCAGGCTTTCTGCTGCAGAGTTTCTGTGGAGGGTGACAGGACAGAAAATCGTGGAGAACAGGAAGGGGAAAAGAATGAGAAGAGACAATAAAAGGCATTGTGTTTGAAAATTCACAGTGGTAGTTCTGCTGCATAATTGTAGCTCGTGAGGTTGAATTTTCAAGGTCTGGATTCTGTTATGGAAATGAAACAAAATTGTTTTCTTCCTGAGCCTTTGCAAAATCGCCGCTTTGAAAATTATCCCGTCAGAAAGAAAAAAAAAAAAAAAAAGAAAAAAAAAAGGAGAATAATCGTCGTTTATTCGTACCGCCGCTCGTGGAGATATTTTATTTTGTATTGTAAATATGCTGCAGTCGCCTAATTCATGGCAAATTTTTGGCTGGAGCTTAAAAGGTTTGGATTTACTCTGCCCTGCAGTCAGGCATGCCATTGGAAGAAAAAAAAAAAAAATTATCATTTGCAAATGAAGACTGAATGGTAACAAGCAGAGACAGCGCCTGAGCCCAGCACGGGCACAGGAGTCTTGCATTAAATCCCAAAGCAGGGCAGGAAACGCCTCGCTGCTGTTATTACTGATACACTCCCAGGAAATACAGAATTTGCTGCTGGTTGTCCCCACAGACCTTTAATATTGAAAATTCACTGACTTGGGTGCGGGATTTTAGCAATCCCATCAGCAAAACCTGTGCCAGGGCTTCCTCATCCTCCAGGGAACAATTCCTCCCCAATATCCYATCCAATGTCTCAGTGGGAAACCATTCCCCTCTTTTCTTTGCCAGGTATTTTTCAGGGGGCACACATGATACTGTAACATCAAAAGGAAAGAAAAAAAAAGCAACCCTAATTTAAAAAAAGATCACTAGAATAACATTGGACAGGTCCTCTTTTGGGTTTATACCAAAGCAGGATTGAGCTGAATGATGGCTGATGGTTGGAATTCAGGAGCCAAGGGTGGTGCTGTGTGAAATTATGGGCTGGAAAGCTTTGAAATTGGGTTCCTCTCATGCAGGACATCCCAGCACCCTTACATCCCAATCCTTCAAAGCACCCTCGGTTTTAGGATGGCTGATCAATTTGTTTTCTTCCTTGTGTAGTACCTTGCTGCACTAAAAACTGCATTCTAAAATCCTTTAAAAATACCTGAGGATCTGAAGCATTTTCTGCACATGTTCTAAAAATAACTAAAAATAACTAAAAATCTAAATAACCTTTAAGAGGTGTTTGTGGTGCTGATCTTCTCCAGAGCAGGTGATTCTATTTTTAGGTGTGAGGGCTTTGATTAGAAAGTTATAACAGTTTTAAATCAATAAGTCCTTGCAAAGCAGAGAGCACRGAAAGGACTCCCTGGAATGGCAATGAGGAGAAGTTAATTAACGAGTCAGAGGAWTGAAAAGTGAGGATTGTTTAATTGAGAGCAGGAGGAGGCACAGCRGGGTGTCTTCATCTGTGAGGGAAGAGCAGAATTCCTTCAYTTGGCAGGGTCTGGAGCTTTGGTAYGACCTGTCCTTACCTGCCCTGGTGTTTCATTTCTTACCTGTGGAGTTTTTCAGTGAAAGAATATCAGAGAAGAATGGAAATCTTTTGTAAGATGTTAATTTTATTCTGAGATAGCTGCACATCAGGGGATAGGAGAGTTCATAGAGTGAGGAGGAAAAATTTACAGAGTGAGGAGGAGGAATTTACAGTGTAAGTAGGAGGAATTTACAAYGTGAGTAGGAGCCTCATTGTGGATATCAATAAAAGCCTCGAGTTTTTGTTCAAGGAAGGAAGTCATTGCAAAGAAATCATCATTTTTYATGATAAGGGAGGAAAAACTCGTTGGGATTTGGACATCCCTTGCTGAACAGAGTCTGGATCAAGCCATTGACCTCCTTCTCCTGCATCYCCTCATCGTACCAAGTTCCAGGTTGGGCAGCAGCAGATCCCAGGAGCTGAATTCCCTGTGCACAGCCCTCAAAGAGCCCTCTCTGGRGGCTCACCCAGCAGCTTCTTCACTGGGATCAGACTGCTTGGAATTGGCTCCTGAATCCTGAGGGGAATCCTTCTTTCCCTAAGCACTCCCCCATTTCTCCCTGCACAAATCATGTCCCTGTCTTGCCCTYCTGGTGCTTCTGCCCCTGCTCAGAGGGCTCCATGTGAGCCCTGGGGCCACAGATTGTCCCTGTGGGGCTTTCCCACCATGCAGTGGCATTCCCCAGAGGCACAGAGATGCCTTTTTGGAGTTCTCCAAGCTCTTGCTTGGTTTGCTGAGGCTTCCAGAGCATCCTCGGGGTGGGTGCTCCCAGAAACCATTGGTGATCATGGACTGGAATMGTTTCCAACATGGCTTCATCCTGGATCAGTGCTCTGTGGGGCCCCCGTGTCTGCTCACAGCTCAGGGAGCCGCACACAGCAAATAATTCCTTTTACTCCATCTCTCCCTCTTGTCTTTGTTTCCCTGAACACTCTCAAGGCAGGGTAACATGAAAAACAGCCGGTGATCATTCCCTGGAGGAACATCCCGTTCATCCAGTGAYGTGACCTTTGAAATGCCCATCACTCAGCATCCTTCTTCATTGTGGATGGTTTTTTTATTTCAAAGAATTGCTGAATTATTTCACAAACCTTTTTATTTCATCTGGGATCTGTTTCCTGCAGTAATTAAAGAGAAATACTGATTCCACAGTCACAGAGTYGTAGAGTCATGGGATGGTTTGGGTTGAGAAGGAACTTAAGGATATCTTAATGATATCTTAAGGATATCTTACTCTACCCCCTGCCATGGGCAGGGACAMCTTCCACTATCCCAGGTTGCTCCAAGCCCTGTCCAGCCTGGCCTTGGACACTGCCAGGGATCCAGGGGCAGCCACAGCTTTGTGCCAGGGCCTCCCCACCCTCCCAGGCACATTTCCTTCCCAATATCCAAAACAAACCCCGTCCCTTCCAGTTTAATCCATTCCCCTTGTCCTGTCCCTTGGTGTGAGCAATGTCTTTATGGAGCAGGGGTCTCTGGGTTCCTGGCTCTCCTAACACAGTTCCCGTGTCCCCCCAGGTGGACAGTGACACCATCTGGAACGAGGTGCACTCGTCCGGCGCCGCCCGCCTGGCCGTGGGCTGTGTCATCGAGCTGGTGTTCAAAGTGGCCACGGGAGAGCTCAAGGTTGGTATGAGATCACCCTCAGGGCTCTGCTCAGGGCACAGCCTGGRCTTCCCACACTCCAAAAAGCGTCATCCACCGTTCTGACCTTGTGAGGAAACACCAAGCAGGATTAAGGTTTCTGCCTGCCTGCTCTGTGTCCATCTKTCTGTCCCTCTGACTTTTTCCTTTCCTTGTTTTTTGGATGCAGAACGGATTTGCTGTTGTGCGGCCCCCGGGTCACCACGCCGAGGAGAGCACGCCCATGTGAGTATGGGGCTCACTGCCTTCATCCAAAGCTCCATCAGCTGGACATTCCCAAGGAATTCTGTTAGGTTATCACAGTTTATTGCAGGATGAGATGTATTCACATCTCSCCAGATTCTGTGGATTGGGGTGTGATCCTGCTTTGTGCTTTCAGGGGGTGTTCCCATGTGAGTATGGGGCTCATTGCCTTTGTCCAGTGCTCCTTTGATGGGGGACCCACAGCTGGAYATTCCCAAGGAATTCCTTTAGGCTATCAGTGCAGAATTTCTGTTTATTGCAGGATGAGATGTATTTAAAGCCCCCCAGATTCTGTGGATTGGGGTGTGATCCTGCTCAGTGCTTTCAGGGGGTGTTTTCCAGCAGAAATCAGCCTTGCAGCCTCTCCTTGCAGTGGCTTTGGGCAGGTTTGGGACATTCCCTGTTTCCCCTACAATTTCCCAGCCTACAATTTCCCCTACAATTTACAATTCCCAGTGGAATTCAGCACTTCCAGTGGGAAGTGGATCTAGTGGAAGGTGTCCCTGCCCATGGTAGGGGGTTGGAACAAGAGCTTTTAAGGTCCCTTTCCCACCCAAACCGATGATTCCACGTTTTCAGGGAGGAAGGAAGAGGGATAGCAGGAGGAATTCCTTACCCTGTGTTCCAGCCAGCTGATGGAGGCTCTGGGACTATGGAAATCTGATTAACACCTCTCTTCTCCTCTTGTCTCCCCTCTCCAGGGGTTTCTGCTATTTTAACTCMGTGGCAATCGCAGCCAAGCTGCTCCAGCAAAGGCTCAACGTCAGCAAAATCCTCATCGTGGACTGGGTGAGTGAACATCCCTTGTATCCCCTTGGGAGAGCAGGAAATTGTTCTGGGTGGGTTTCCTCTTGCGAGGGCAAACTCTGCAAGTCAGTGAAAAACTTCTTGCCTGTGGTCTGCAAGCCAAAATTTGGGGTTTTAAGTGAATAAGTGTTTTACTCAAAGAAAAAGTTCCTAAGGAATCCACARTTCTCGAATAAAATTGCAGTTAATAAGAGCTGCTTTGTAAAACAAGCCCAGAACACAGTCCTGAGGATGAGTAACTGCAAACAGTTACTGCTAACAGTGCTGGGGTTGAGTTGCTCTTTTCCTGAAGGTTTTGACCTGAACTGCACCACCCTGTAACTCAGTGGGGGATCTCTCATGGGTTGAGTTGTGACCTGAGTCCAACAGAGCTTTGTTTGTATCAGTGCCCACCCCACAGGCTGACTAAAGATGCAGATTTGGGGCAGCAAACACCCCGGTATCTCCATCCCCCAAGGCTGGTGTGATTCCAGTTCTCTCCATACAGGTGAAATAGTCCTGTCCCAGTTTGACAGACATTTGGGATTGTGTTTATAAACACAGAGCAGAACCTGAGCCCAGATGTGCAAGGCAGCTCCTTGTCATTCCCCATAAACTGCTTCATCCAGTGCAGGGAACAAAGCCCAGCAGCAAGGGAAACCCTTCCAAATCCCAAACTGCTGCCTTTAATCCGTGCTTTTCCTGAGGATTAAGCTCCCTGCCGCCATCCCTGTCCCTGCAGGATGTCCACCACGGCAATGGTACTCAGCAAGCCTTCTACAACGACCCCAATGTTCTTTACATCTCCCTWCACCGCTACGAYGAYGGGAACTTCTTCCCAGGCAGYGGYGCTCCGGATGAGGTGAGCACCTRATGGGGCAGGGGAGCTCCCAAAATCCTGGGATTCTCTCTGAGAGAGAGCTCCTGTCACCTCCTCAGTGCTCTTTGGGGACACAGCAGCAGGGTTTGAGCGTTCCCATCCAAACCCTGGGCTCCGAGCAGTGCGCTTGGCTAATGAGCAGCAAATGAGTCACTGCAATTAACAGGGACAACCTGTTCCAGAGGAGGCCTCTGCCAGCTGTCCCAGCTCTCGTGTGTGCTCAGCATTTCCCCTTCCTCGGCACAAGTTGTTTYGTGGAGGCTGAAGGAACAGATTGTCCATGGCCGCAGTGTCTGTGCTCAGCTTTCCTGGCATGGCCATGGAGCCATTCCACCTCTCCTTCTCCATCTCCTCTTCTGATCCTCCTCCACCTCCCCTTCTCCACCTCCTTTTCTCCATCTCCCCTTCTCCATCTCCCCTTCTCCACCTCCTTTTCTCCATCTCCCCTTCTCCATCTCCCCTTCTCCACCTCCTTTTCTCCACCTCCCCTTCTCCACCTCCTTTTCTCCATCTCCCCTTCTCCACCTCCTTTTCTCCATCTCCCCTTCACCTCCTTTTCTCCATCTCCTTTTCTCCGCCTCCCCTTCTCCACCTCCCTTCTCTATCTCCCTTCTCCATCTCCTCTTCTGATCCTCCTCCACCTCTCCCTCTCCACCTCCTTTTCTCCATCTCCCCTCTCCATCTCCCCTTTTCACCTCCCCTTCTCCACCTCCTTTTCTCCATCACCCCTCTCCATCTCCCCCCTCCATCTTCCCTTCTCCATCTCCCCTTCTCCACCCTCCCTTCCCCACCTCCCGTTCCCCTGGCCCTGCCCAGGCATCTCTCCCCACCCAAACTGTGAGATCAGAGGAGYGGTGGCTGGCACTGCTGGACCAAATCCTCCTTTCCCTGTGGTCTCCTGGAGCCTGCAGCTGGAGGGCTGGGCCAGCAGAGCTGGGGGCCTCTCTCCCTGAGCTCTGGATCCTTCCTTTCCCTCCAGGCTGGCAGGAAATACGGTCCCTCAGAGTGATTTAGCAAAGGGAAATTTTATAGAATACTTGGCTTTGAGGCACTCCAGGTGATATCTGAAAACTCCAGCAGTTCCTAACTGTTAATTTTGCATTTTCTGATTCCATTTCTACCTCTAAAGAAACTTAAATGTGATGTAGTGCTSCTCCATCACCCTGTTTTAGTGAACAGCCCTTTGTGTCAGGCCTAATTCCTGCTTTTTACTAATCTGGTTGACAAAAAGAGTCCATTCAGATGTGTCAGTTTAGACCAAATAAAACCAAGCATGCAAAAGAAATTTAAGCCAACAATGATTAAAAAAATCAATAACCCACCGTGGATYGATGAACACCCACCCCTGTGTTTTTCTACCAAAAATATTTGCACCAGTACGAGAAGTAATGTGCAACAAAAGCCACGCAGTTTTATCCAGCTGTGCATTGTGTAATGTGTTCATTTTCACTTTTTAATCCTTCTTTTCATATGCAAAGACCTTCTTGGCAAAAAAAAAAAAAAAGCTGGAAACATCAGGTTTATTTTTCAGTTTCCCCTGTCTCAGGTAGTTGCAGGCAGGGCAGATGGGGACATCTGCAGCACAGGCAAGGAGAGGGATGTATTTTCATCTCCCACCCACGTGTCCCTCGAGCAGCCAAAATTCCTTCTCTGTGAATCCTATTTTTCCCCAGCAGAGGGGGAGCTCACTCTGATTAAAATATGCTTTCTTCCCCCAGCTGCAACTGTGATGAAATATAAAACATGCTTCTGAATCAAGCTGAAAATGAATTAGGGAAAGGTATTATGTGTAGCACACTCTGCTGCAAAAAAATGAAGAGGATCCAGTTGATGATGGGGTTTTTGGGATGAGCAGCAGCCAAACACCACTCATCCCATAAATGAGGAGCTGTATTTTCCCTCTTGTTTGGGGGACCAGAGGAAAATCAACCTCATTATTGAATCCAAATCCATATTGAGCTGGGAGAACAGGGGGACAGCGAGGATGTGTTGCCAGAATTTTCTGATTTCAAGTCCCCTTTCCCTTTTCCAGGTYGGCACAGGGGCAGGAGTTGGGTTCAACGTGAACATGGCATTTACCGGGGGCCTGGATCCGCCCATGGGAGACACGGAATATTTAACTGCTTTCAGGTACTGCTGAGTTTCCCCTCTCACAAATGCATTTTTCACCTCTGGTGGCTTAAATCCAGGCAGACAYGCTTGCCAGAACATGGAAATTCTGTGATATCGCTTTTGTGGAATGGCATTAAATCCAAGAGTGTTATTTTCTGCTCTTCCTCCCTGTTATATGCTGTTACACTGAGCAAAAAGAGCCTTTCCCCCTCTTCATTTTTCCATTAAAAAGCCTTCAGAGAACACCAGCAATTTAAAAGCCCATCAGATTCCTGCCATTTGTCTCACTCCTGGCCCAGGAAGGCAGCACTCGGCTCCAGAGTGGAGCTCTGGCTATYCCAGCAGTCACCAAGATGGATCTCCTCATTAGACACACAGCCTGGGGATGCAGGGACATTAAATATTCATGGAGTTTCCAGGTTTTGGGGAGGGAAGACCTTTGCCAGCCATTCCCGGGGTCTGTTTGCCTGAGGAACAGGCTTTGGAGGGAAAAACCCTTATTTTGGTGAGTTTTTGGGAAGCTGAGGGATGCTCTCCCGGAGCCTGCCCCACRTGCACACCTTCAGTTCAACCACAAGTTAAAGGAGAAGCTTTTTTCTCATCCCGTGCCAAGTTTGGCCATGACAATACATTATCAAGTGACCTTTTGAAAATCTTAACCAGCTTCTTTGAACAACATTTTTTCCCCCCACCCCGGCCCCGAATCTTTCTATTGATTTTCATGTAAAATAACGCTTTGAAGTTCGCAATTTATGGTCCCCCAAGAGTTCGAAAGTGAAGGGAATGGGTCATATATCCTATTTTTTCCCCCTTTCTTCTCTTGCTTTAGCCCCTTGAGACAATGCATGCCTTCAAGGCAGCACCTTGTTATTCCAGCCCATCGAATGCCACGTTGCATTTGCTGGGGATCAAACCGAAGATGAAGAAAAGATAAGAAAATTGGCCCTAATGAACTCCAGAAGCAGGAGGCATTTTCACCATGAACTTGGAAACTCGCAGCAGAGAGCTGAGCTTTAATTCAAACCAGTCCCAATGCCAAACTGTGAGGCTTTGAAGTCTGGAGAGGAATCAGTGGAAATCCTTTGAGCTAGGCAAAGATACTGATAGACTTTTTCTCTTTTTTTTTGGGCTTTAACTCTTCAGGTGCCTGCCTGGTTTTAGCGGTAAAAGTCCTTTTTTCTGCATGAAACGTGCAGATTTAAATAAGCAATGTGCTCCTCGTTTTGTGTTGCTGTATTTCAGGGCCAGCCAGTGTGTGGATTTGAGAAATGAAAATAACTGAGATAATTGTCCTTCTAAATGAGAGAAATGAGGGGATAAATAAATCCCAGTGAAACCCCTCATCCCCACGCTGAAAACCTATTTCAGTGTGGGTTTTCTCCGTCCAAAAAAAGGACACAAGCACACATCAGTGATTTTCACCCTGTCTCCAGGTATTTTCTCCCCAGTCTTGCAGCCCAGCAACCCTGAACTCACCYCCAAGCGTGTGGGCAATCCCAGATTTCACAGATCAGGCAGAAATGTGTTCAGCTTTAACGGGGAAAATGCAGGGCATGTCACTCCCAAAGTCCCAAACTCATCAGAGCGTTCCCAGTGTCTCTGCTGTTGTTCTGTAGTTATAGAAACAAACRGTTGTAAAATTCAGTGGGGTTTTTTGGGCCAGGATGTGTCGTTCCCTGATGTTTTACACGAGCAGAAATCCCATTTGCTTCTCCCAGCCCTCCTGATCCCTGTGCAAACCCAGCTAAGAGACCTGCAGGGAAAAYGGGAAAGCTGCGGCGGGTTCTTTATTACCCAGGAACAGCAATTAGTGAAATTAAAATGTTTTATCCACAGGACTTTCTCTCTGAATTTACTGCAGGGAAGTTTTCCTGATGGTTCCAGCAGTTGTGTTGTATCTGAGAATGTTTTCCCCTGTCCTGAGGTCTCCTCCGCAGTTGTAATTCCACGTTCAGCTCGATTCCACGCTCGTTTTTATTGAAAACACCGAAACCTGAAGGAAAAGTCAGGACTGTGCTTGGAAATTCCCTCCTCCCACCACTTTCAAAAAGTTCAGGAACCAATTTCGGGGGAATTTGGGTTTTTCCTTCAGGAAAAAATTTCAGGATCAAGGAGGAAGGGACGGCGATGTTTTGCCTGCAACGGTTGCTGCCGTATTTTCAATTTCACGCTCTCCCCATGCCGATTTCATCCCCAAATTCCAAATCCCTTTTGGCACAGTAAATAACCGAGGAGAAACAAAGACAGGAATTTTCAGGAAGCTGATTAACCTGAGGAGCAGTGGGTAACTTTTTTATTTTATGTGTTTATTTTTTATATCTAAAATTTAGAAATCTGTGTATGCAGAACATTTACAGAAATCTACATTGCATATGTAAATGCAAATATAAATATATAAATAGATAAACAGATAGATATATAAATATTTCTAGAAATAAATAGATGAATATATAAATATTTCTATAAATAGATCAATAGATCAATATATATATTTATATAAATAGGTAAATRAATTTATAAGTATTTATATAAATATGTGCATAGATATAAATATGTACACTTAACGTATATTAATATTTGCATAAAATACATGAATATTTGCATAAAATGCATAMATATTTGCATAAAACGTGTATATGGCCAAGAGTGGGAAGCACACTCTAAAAAAAGTGCTCAGCCTTCTAAGTTTCACCAATTTACTCACTGCAGTGGAGCATTTAAACCCAAAATAATCCTCTGCAGGGTTGTTTCATCTGCCTGTCAWTTATTAGCCATTTAATTGGGGAACTGGCTAATGCCAGGCTAAAAATTGTTCATTCAGCCTTCTGGAAAACGGATCTAAAATTGCATTTGTTTTGTTTTTCTCTGTCCCAAGTGAGTGCAGAGCACAATGGGGAGGTTTTGCTGTTTGCAGTTTGCTCTCGTGTGGAGCTGTTCAGCTCAGCTGGAACCAGGCAAATAAAAGGGATTTAATTTCTTTTAAGCAAGCAAAACAAGCTTCTGAAATTTCAGAAATTTCAGTTTCCTTGTTTTTTAAGAAATCCTGCATGGATTGAATGAATATTCAGTGTTAGGAATATTCATTCCTCTGTGAATAACTTTACAGCCGCCTCAGCCTTTCCTTAAAAAACCCAGTTCCAGGCAGAACCGCTTATCTCCTGGATAATAATTGGAATTTCTGGCTTTTTTTACAGTCTCATCAGCAGGGCAAAGCCATGGGSTTGTTTGCAGTTTAATCCTTGTTTCCTCTGGAGGGTTTGGCTTTATGGGATGGATCTGAGCGATGGGGCTGGTTTTATGTGCACAAGGAAAAATCAAAAAGCGAAAAGCTGGATGAGACGTGTCCAAAACATCATCCACAGATGGAATATTGGAAAAACACTGCATTTTTTTCTTTTTTTTTATACAATTGAGGGAGTGCTGATTTTGCCTGTCCTAGATCAGGTTTTTACCATGGAGAGCATCAAAGAGCTGGGGCTGGAGCTTTGGGATGCTGGGGCTGTACTGGMGTTGGGAGGGAGGCAGAAACCCTTGAGAGGTTGGCTGGGAGCCATGGGGAGAAGGAGAGGGTTGGAGAGCGGGATTGGGGTTGGGATTTCGGTGGGATGGTCAAAGTCCCAAAAAGCTCCAGGCCATAGGGTRGGAGGGGGAGCCAGGGGACTTGGAACACATCCCTTAAAACCCTGAGGGATCCCCCAGCCATGTCCTGTGWGCACACAGCACTGCTGGAACCTGCTCCCAGTTGGAATTTGGTGCTGGAGTCACCAGTGGCTGTGGGGTCACCCTGTCCTGCACTCTGGGCATTCTCACAGCGGCTCCTCCTGACTTCTGTTAAAGAGTCATGGATTCACCCTGAGCAGCAGCTGCTGCTTTYCCTCTCCTAAAACTCACCCTGACTGGGGGCAGGGTAAGCCCTGGGGGTCCTGGGGTTGAGGAGGCCACCTGAAGCCACTGTCACCTGCAGGCACCCCCAGCCGAGGGTCCCCACCTGCCCCGTTCCTCGGGGAACAATCCTTGGCACCATTGGACACCATGCCAGGGGCTGGAATGAGATGTTCTTGAAGGTTTTTTCCAACCATTCCCTGCTCCAAGAGCTGTCCCATGGATCCATGATCACTTGGGGCTGAGGGGCCATCCCCACCCTTTGGGGCTGCAGGGTTGGTGACCCCACACTTCCACGAGATCCCAGCAGCTCCCACAGCATCATAACTCAGGGGGGAGAAATAAATCTGATTATTTGAGCAGCTTTCTTTGGGTTAGACAACTCCAGAGCTCAGGAAGAATGAACCCTGGGCCTCTGCACTTGCTCTGGAATTGCAACTTCAGGTGGGCAAGGTGGCTTCTCCCAGAAAGAGAAGCTTTTGGGAGYTCCACCCAACTCTAAAGTCAACACCCAGAAATGAGCTCTCCTGTCCTCCTCACGGAATCAACCCCCAAGGACAAAACAGAGAGGGCAATCACATTGTTCAGGGAAAAAATTCCCACTCCTCATTGGGATTTGGAGTGGAATTAGGGGGAAATTATATCCTTTTTACTTTGCAGAGGTTTCTGTGTCTGCATGGGGAGATTGCAGCAGGCTCCGGGGCCGCTGTGGCAAATAGCTGGAAAAAAAATAAAGCTGAGAAGTGTGGGTGGTTTTTTGGGTTTTTTTTTGGGGGTGTGTGAGTGCCTGTCCCCGCTCCATGGTGGCAGTAAAGTAAGTATCTCTCTCCATAACTGCCCTCCACACCAAGATGTTGATTCCTGGTAGCAAAAATGGAACCTTTGGTCACTGTTATCATTTTCTTTCATCTCTCTCCATAACCACCCTCCACACCAAGATGTTGATTCCTGGTCACAGGCTCTCGGTTGTCAAAGATAACTCCTGCTGGGTCTTTCCATCTCTCACATGTTCCAGGGAGAGTGGGATCCATCCTGCCCCCTCTGCCCGTGCTCAGAGCTCYCTAAGGTGCTCTGTGGATGTTTGTGTTGCAGGACAGTGGTCATGCCCATCGCCAACGAGTTCGCCCCGGACGTGGTGCTGGTGTCGTCAGGTTTCGACGCCGTGGAAGGGCACCCCACGCCTCTTGGGGGATATAACCTGTCAGCAAAATGTAAGTGGGGCTTTGTCCTTGGGATTCAAGGACGGTGTTCCCAGATTTTACATTTCAAGGTCTATTTAGGRTCTTTCATGTCAAAGACAAAACTTCCATCTTTTTTCTCTGAAATTTCATGGTATTTACCTTCTTATAGTACATATTTGGGCCTGGCTGAAGCCTTAATTTATTTCTTTTTTTAAGCATTGCATATTTCAACTTTGGAATATTCAGTATGTAATCTGTAATTTATTTGTAGTCACATCTCTGCTGAATTACAGAGTTATGCTGGCTTTAATAGAATAAAAAAATAGAAAATTGCAGGAAAAGACAATACCAGCTGTAAACACTCTCTTGCTACTAAAAGTCCATTTCTTTCTGCAGGATACCATATTAAAATTTTGAGCTGATKTTTTTTTTGCTCTCCACCTTTGAATTAATTGTAGAGATCCACAAAAACCTCATTTTGCTTTGGGTCTGGGATGTTTTTGGAAGATGCTCTGAAATCCCCCCCAGGTTATGTGGAGTTTACCTGGCACTTGTTTCATTCGGATTCATCCAGAGGACAGCTTTTCTTGCAAAAAGAGTWTTATTATTATTTTTTAGGAGTTTCTTCCAGCCAGGAAAGTTGTTCTCCACAGTGAACTTTAAACCCTCGCGAGGGAGCTGAGCCTATAAACTTTATATGAGAATAAAGTGGAATAGATTTACAAGAGATGAGTTCTTTGAGACATCCAGAACCACTTTGGAAAGGGAAGGTTCAGTTTCCCTTCTGGTTGAATTTGCCACACTCTGCTCCTCTCACAAACCCATTATGGGATCAGCAGTGAAGTTTTCCCTCCGCCTGTTAATTTGTTAATTTACCAACTCCAAAGCAGCACACAGGGGGTTGGAAGGGAGAAATTCCCCAGCTTTTCCTTTGTTTTTGAAGGATTAAAAAAAAACAATCCTTTTCTATTTTTTTTTTCCAGAGAAGGGGGAAGCTGCTTTGAGGATGCATTTTTTTCAGTCTCTGGGCTGTGTTTTGTTTGAAGGCGCAGAAATGTATTGCGTGTCACCAGATCAAAGCGCTGGCGCCCCTGGAATTTTTATAGCGGATTGCGGACGGGGAGAGCCGTCTGCTGACAACGAGATGTCAGAGCTGAATCTCTGGGATAGCTGAAGGTGTCCCTGCCCCTGGCAAGGGGTGGAATGGGATGAGTTTGAAATTCCCAAACCATTCGCTGCTTTCCTGGTCTGAGCTGTGCTGAGTCTCCTTCCTCCTTCTGACCCAGCCGCCGCTCCCAAAGCAGCGCAAAAATCCACTCCTTTCCTTCTTTCCAAAGGGAATGTTCTGTGTTACCTTACCTTCCAAAGGGAATGTTCTGTGTTTCCTTCCTTCCAAAGGAAATGTTCTATGTTTCCTTCCTTCCTTCCAAAGATAATGTTTTGAGTTTAACTCAGGGTGCTGAGGGATGGCAGTGCTATCACCTCCCAAAGCAGCAGAAAAACCTTTGGAAATCCTTTGGAAATCCTTTCCCTCCTTCCAAAGGGAATATTGTGTGTTAGCTCAGGGTGCTGGGGGTGGCAGGGGAAGCATGGCAGTGCTGTCCTCCCAAAGCAGCACAAAAATCCACTCCTTTCCTTCTTTCCAAAGGGAATATTCTGTGTTTCCTTCCTCCCATAGGGAATGTTCTCTGTTTAACTCAGGGTGCTGAGGGGTAGTAGGGGAAGGATGGCAGTGCTGTTACCTCCCAAAGCACCCAAATCCACTCTTTTCCTTCCAAAGGGAATGTTCTGTGTTGACTCAGGGTGCTGGGGGCAGCAGGGGAAGGGTGCTGGGGGCTCTCAGATGGGATGGGGCACACGTGGCTCCRTCCCAGGGAAGCGAGCGCGTTAAAGCCCGGCCTGGCTCGCGTTAGCGCCGATCCCTTTCTGATCCCCGCTGGGTTTTTAAYGTGATGTAATTCCCCTCCTAAGGCTTTGATCCCCCGCCAGGAGCTCGCTTCCAGCCGCCACCTTTGCCCCTGTGCAGCGTTTACTCTGTTCCCTCGTTGCAGGTTTCGGGTACCTGACGAAGCAGCTGATGGGGCTGGCCGGGGGCCGCGTCGTGCTGGCCCTCGAAGGCGGCCACGACCTGACGGCCATCTGCGACGCCTCGGAGGCTTGTGTGTCTGCCCTGCTGGGCAACGAGGTACGGGCACCCCAAAACCTCCTCCTCCTCCTCGSCTCTGGGCCCTTCTGCCACGTGGTGTTTTAAAGAGGGTTTGCTTTGTGCTCAAAAGCCACCTGTGCTTTGCAGTCTGTGCCAYGAGGGAAACGGCGAAGAATGATTTGTTTGGGTTCGTTCTCTCTCCAAACAATTCTCTTTGTGCTCTTTGGAAAAAACAACTCTTTTCATTAATTTCTGGATTTGTTGTGCAAGCCCTCCCTTCTGTTTGCTCCCCTCTCTAGTCCTACAGGCTTTGTGGGSTTTGGATGAGGTTTGGAGCAGCSTGGGATAGYGGAAGGTRTCCCTACACATGGCMGGGGGTGGAATGGGATGAGCTTTAAGGTTCCCAAAYCATCCTGGGATTYTGTGAGGTGTTTATTGCAGCACCCATCTTTTTAAAGTTGTGACCACAGACAATTCCTCTGGCTGCATCCACCTTTGGTTTCACTTTGACAGGGAATCAGCGGGAATACCAGCTGGACGATGCCATTATTAGGATTATGTCATTATTGGGATTATGTCATTATTAGGATCCCTCCTGCTCAGCGCGCTCCTAAGATTGCAGACTGCAACAGCATGGACGGGTTTGGGAATGGCTTTGGGTTTGGGGATGGCTTTGGGTTTGGAAATGTGAGGCTGTGGGGAGATCTCAGCACTCAGGATTCTTGGGATGTTCTGAGCTGCCTAAGTGTTTTCACTGAGCAGAGCGAATACTGATCCTTCAAGGTAAAAAATGTGGATGATTTTAATTGCAGCCACAAGGAACTTTAGAACCCTTAAACACAGCCCTGCTGTGCCTTGTCCTAGGTGGGCTGTGCAGGTTGGAGACGTTCCCTGGCTGAGCCCCACATCAGAAAGCAGGAAATGCTGGTTTGATCCAGCCCTTGCCTCGGCCCTTTTGAAGGCGGGCGAGCYGTGGGGAGCGCCCTTTGATGCGGTTTGATGGACGGCGTGCACGTGGGCACGCAGCTGCGGCCAGGCCGGGCTGGGGGGAGCGGGGCTGGCTCAGGAGCCACCCCAGAGCTCCACGGGGCCAGGGGGAAATGGGGGCAGCGGTGCCAGTGCCCTGAGAGCYGACAGAGACCAAAACAGGAGCGCGGGGAAAAGGCGGCTCCTTCCCAACACGGGGCTGGGCAGCAAGGAGGGGTCACTGCTGGAGAAAGGACCTGAGCTGCTCTCAGGGGCTTCAGCAGAAATGCAAGGTGGGTTTGGTGCAGGGAGTGAGGCTTTGGTACTGGCTGAGAGGGTTTGGGGTGTCCAGCCTGGAGAAAGTGTCCCGGAGGAGATTTCCAGGGACTAAAGGGGCTCCGGGAGAGCTGGACAGGAATTTGGGAAAAGGGATGGAGGGACGGGAAAAGGGGGAATGGTTTTAATCCATGTTAAGCCCAGAGGGCAGGGATGGATGGAATATTGGGAAGGAATTGTTCCCTGGGAGGGTGGGGAGGGGCTGGGATGGAATTCCCAGAGAAGCTGTGGCTGCCCCTGGATCCCTGGCAGTGTCCAAGGCCAGGCTGGACATTGGGGCTGGGAGCAGCCCGGGACAGTGGAAGGTGTCCCTGCCTGTGGATGGGGTGGAATGAGATGAGTTCTAAGATCCCTTCCAGCCCCCAGCATTCCATGATCCCATGATTCTATGATGCTTGGCCTTGCTGACAGCCATCCAGTGCAGCATGCCACCGTTCCTCTCCCATCACTGTGCAGAGCTGCCCCCTCCATCCTGAGCATCACCAGCCCGTGCCCTTCACACAGGCAGCTGATAACATCCAGTGCCTCGTACCCTGAGCTATTCCCTCCCTTTTCCACAGGCTGAGGCTGTTTTTTGTGGGTGTTATTTCAGGAAGAGGAGCGTGCTCTGGATTCAGGAATGTGCTTTGTCTCAGTGTCAACTGARGGGCCTTGGAAAGCTCTTGCTCAAAGACCCATCCAAAAATTGCCTTTGCCTTCACTTGATGTCATACAGARCCCAGCTTGGAGCAGGGCTGTTTTCAGAGGGGAGAATGAATAAAAAGTGCAGTCTGTGATTACTGAATGTGGAATGCAGCATCCCGTGAAGKACCTATGGAATGGCTGCCATGTGCTCCCAGGAGCAGTCTTGGCTGCAGCTTCTCTTGCCTTTGAGCACAAGTTCAACTTAAAATACTTTTAACTATTCACCTCTGGCTGTKCTTTGCTGGGGAATGTCCCTGGCTGGACTTTGAGCGCTGTTTTCAGCCACAGTTAACAGCAGTGGACATCTCTCGTTTTGGCCAGCCCACCTCGGAGGTTTGGGATTAATTCATTCATTAGGGGAGAACCTGGGAGGGCAGAGGTGTCTCCTCTTCTTGGCTTTTTCTAAAGAAAGTAAAAATTTGTAAAAATTCTGTAACGGGATGGGCTTTAAGGTCCCTTCCATCCCAAACCACTGTGAGATTCTGGGATTCAATGGTAACATTTCTTTGATGTTTCTCTTCCTCCCAGCTCGACCCTCTTCCAGAGAAGGTTTTCCAGCAGAGAGCGAATGCTAATGCGGTGCATTCCATGGAGAAAGTCATCGAGATACACAGTGAGTGTAGCCCCACCCTTCTGCCAGCTCCATGACCCCAATTCCCAGTTCCCTCCACCCCAAAATGGGTTGGTGCAGCCATAAACGGGTTGCTGTGGATGGAGTGATGCCCAGCAAGGCTTTACCCCTTGAGGGGGAATTAATCAGAGCATGGCTTAGGTTGGAAAAGACCTTCAGCATCATCAATCCAGCTGTTAACCCAACACCAATCAAAACCTGTGAAATATCTGTAGAGGACAGTATCCTGCAATAAGAGGGTGCTCTTATTTCTCCAAAGCAGTTCAGTATCTCTGGATAACATGAATCTCATTGGGTGTTGTGGCACCCATTAATTGAGAGTAGATAGGCATGGGAGTGAAACAGGCTCTCAGGGACAGGGTGGGCTTCTTGGGATTTCCTGTGCAGGCCCAGGTGTTGGACTTCATGGGTCCCTCTAGGTCCTGGGATGTCACAGGAGTTGGACTCAATGGTCCCTCTAGGTCCTGTCTAAGGATTTTCTATGAGTCTTGCTCAAAGTCATTGATACTTTAGGGTTCTTTTAGCCAAAAGGTTAAAATCATTGCATTGAAACTTCTCTGGAGAAATTCTTGGGAATTCTTTCCTCTGGAGCCTTCCCTGTGCTCTTCCCAGAGCTCTCCCCTGTGCTCTTCAACCGTCTATGTGTTTTTTATGTCTTCTGTCGACATAAAAAACACATAGACGGTTGAAGCATGGACTTGGTGATCTTGGAGGTTTTTTCCAACTTTAATGGTTCTAAATTCATCTTCACTGATTTGCCCCCTGATCTGGCAGTCACAGCTGGATCCAGGTCTGCACTGCATCCTTCCCTCCCCTGCACTTKTGGCAGGGAGACATTTCCAGCCATCTTTGCCCTTAGGTCTAGAAGTTTCTGGGGATTTTCAGTGGGAAAGGAATTCYTTTTTGAGCACMTAAGTGAGAGCGTGGAGCAGATGARCCCTCCCTGGGYGGTTCSRAGCCRGCAGCTGGGTTTGGGTGAGCAGGAGCRGTGCTGTGCCCTGATGGCCCTGTTGTCACCTCTGTCACCTCTCCCCAGGCAAGTACTGGCATTCCCTGCAGCGCTTTGCCTCCACGGTGGGCTATTCCCTGGTGGAGGCACAGAAGTGCGAGAACGAGGAGGCGGAGACGGTGACGGCCATGGCATCGCTGTCGGTGGCCGTGAAGCCGGCGGAGAAGAGGTCAGTGGTTGTCCATCCCGTCTCCAGCTGTGCCCAGGTGGGAGGAGCAGCAGCCTTTRGGGTTAATCCTCTCCTCTCGGCCATTGCTGTTGGTTCCTCACATCCCCCATCCTCCCTGGAATCCCAAAAATCCTCCTGGGCTGCCGGAGAGCAGTGGAGCTGTGTGCGCACCCCGTGTCTGAGCCGCCTGCTCCAAGCATGGCTTTGGACCACMAGAGGGAATTTATTTTACTGGGGGAAACCTTAACATTGCCCAAACAACAACTTGTCCAAAAGCCCTTCCTGRTGGGAAGTTTGATCCCAGCTGGCTGGGTGGGAGGGTGATGGGGACACAAGGAATTTGCATCGGGGGTGGTCCTGCTCAACCCTGTTTTCTCTCTGCCCTCCCTGTCCCATCCCACCCCCAGACCCGAGGACGAGCCCATGGAAGAGGAGCCTCCCCTGTAGCACCCACCTTCGAGCTGGAGTTCTCCTGACCGCTGGTCTTCATCTCGAAGCTTTGCCAAGAAGCTTTCTCTTGTTACTCCTGCGTCCTGCCAGGGTTATTTCCAGAGGGACGGCCAGGCGTAAAGCAAAGCAAGCGACACAAGAAAAAAAAACAAATCTCTCCGTATCTTTGAGTCTCTTTTTGCCGAAAAAATCCGCTGGTGAAGAGCAGCAAAGGACTGACACGTTGGGCACTCTTCCTCCGGTCCTCACCGCGAGCGCAAAGAGGAACGACGCCCGGGAAGTCTTTGGCAGAGTTGCCAAAAAACAACGACAAAAAAACAACAACGAAACGTAAGAACGATAAATCAAAGATTCAACAACGCAAATCGAATGAACCTTAACATAAAACTGGTGCTTACAAAGTTGATTTACCCACAAGTGAGCAATCCGCGCTTGAACCACTCGGCCCACGGCGTACTTTCATTTCTTGGATATTTGGAAATGGCTCTTGCCTGCCTGCGAGCCAGGACGGCTCGCTTGGGAGAGGATGTTGTGTTTTTAATGGGGCGGGACAGGGATTGAGGGACTCGTCTGACACCTGAAGGAAAGGGAAGGAGAAGGGGGAGGGGGGAAAGGGTAGCCCAGATGGAGTCGGCTTTATTATCTCCAAAGCCATCTGAAGATGAGTTTGTGCCTTTTTTTTTTAATTGATGGATTCGGTGCAGCTGGATTTTCTGAAGTTTGAGGAACAATGCCTTAAGTAAAAAAAAAAAAAACAAAAACAAAACACAAAAAAAAGAAGAAATAATAATAATAATAAACCACAAAGAACATAGCAGTTCCTGAATATTTTTCCTCTGGTTGGGAAAGCCAAGGACTGCCATCAGGAAGGAAGACTTTTTTGGCTTGTGCTGGCATGATGGTGGGAAGCAGGCATCAGCTGAACAGAGCGTCTCCAAAAACTGTTGACAAGTTTGGATTTGTTTTGTTTTCTTTCATTGCTGTTTCAGAGAAAAAAAGAAAAAAAGGAAAAAAGGAAAAAAAAAAAGAAAAAAAAGGAAAAAAAATTAAGGTAGTTGCCAAAAAAGTGGCAAATACTGTTGGGTCTTTGAAATTCAACCATTTTTAACAACCAATTTTCAAGTGTTTTCTCTCTCTTCTACATTATCTAGTAATTGAACTTATCAATTTGGTTGTCGAAGCATGTATTAGACACAAATGCAGGTTTTAAGACTGGAATGCTTTTTATTAAAAGCAACTAGCATGAGATATTGCTTAAATTGTTAGGTATAAATATATATATGTGTATAATGTATATTCCAAATGTATTCCAAGCTTAGAAACCGGATTCCTATGAATTATTGAGAAAAATATTTATGATGCATTTATAGAAAAAAAAAAGAAAAAAATATGTAATAAATGCATACTCTAACAGTAGCCATTGGAAGCTCCCTAGGGACAGATTTGGGAATTGGAACGTCAAAGGTGCTCTCAGAAAAGGATCCAGGTTGAAACTCGAGGACTTTTCAGGAGACAGGTTGGGAAGTTTTTCAGAAAGCCAACACTTTAGCCACTGGGCAACTACCCTAAACATTTGTATTTTAATTTAAGGTTTTTAGTTGTGATCCTTTTCTAACGAAAACGAGAAAAAAAAAAGAGTTTTTTATAGCAAAGACAATGAATTTGCTGTTAATTTTTATATGGATATTTCCCAAAACCCTCTGGAAGCCTTGTTTGTGTGATTCTGACATTTCTTTTCCATTTGGCAGGTTTCCTTTCCGAACGGCAATAGCATCTAAACCTTTCTCCCTCCCTCTTTTCTTGCTTGTACATGGATTTTCCTCTTTTCTTTTTTCTGTTTTTTTTCCTTTTTATATTTTTCTTTTTTTAAAAAATTTTCTGTGTTGTTTTCTCTCCTTTTCCTCAACTCTTTTTGTACAGTGAGCAGCTTTCTGCAGGTGTAAGGAACTGTGGGCAGACTGACAGTTGATTTTTTTTCTGGGAAAGGGCGCGTTTTACCGAAGAGGAGGAGGAGGAAGGACCGTCAGGGGCTCTTTTGTATAACAATTCCGCCGACTGTATATTTCCTCGGCTCTCTTGTAGTAGCTCTGTAGAGAAAATTAGGAATTTTCTTACCTGGCGGGCGCTGCTTTGTCCGGAGCGCGCTCCTGCCCTCGTTGGACGCTCCGAGACCGCCGGCGTTTTCTCTCTGCCCGCCTCCTCTCTCCCTCTTTCTCTCTTCTTCTTCCCGGYGTTGGGAGGGGGTTCGGAGGGATTTTTTTCGCCCCCCACCCCACGGAGGTGGTCGCCTCCCTCCATTTCTAGCGCAGTTTCAAAGCCAGACACTACAGTATTTGAGTTGTGCAAACCCCAAAGCACCTCCTGTAACCCCAAAAGCTCCGGTCACCAGGACCGTCCTGGGCACATCCCAAAACCCTGCTGTGACAGAGCACTGCCTGCCCGGGGATGTTGTCATTTGGGGTTTTTTTCCATCTGCGCTGCTGCTGTGATCTCAAATGCGGTGCCTGATGTGGGATTGTCCTCCCCATGCCATGGGCAGTGTTTGTGCCACCCTCTGCATTGCCAGCTCTTCCCCGGAAGGTTTTGGATGTTTCTCCTTCTGGTCACGGCAAAGCTTTTTCCTTCCTTTCTGTATTCCTGGGAGTGTGCTGAGCCAGTTCCTTTGGAAAATCTGGAGGAGCTTGTTGGGATTCTACCTTCCTTCCAAAATTCCTTCCTTCCAAAATTCCTTCCTTCCTTCCAAAATTCCTTCCTTCCTTCCGTTTTTTCTGTCCTTTCCCTCAGCTTTTTGCCGGGATGTAAAGCTTTTTCCCGAGGCGCCGGAGCTCGTCTCCTCCCAACTCCCAGATTTGTTTCTCAGCATCCCCCTGTTCCCTGGGAAGGCTCTTCCTCCCTGGACTGTGACCTTCCCCGGGGCTGCTTTRGGGGGCACGCAGAGAGGGGAGGGAAGGAGGGAGCCCTCGTTTTGAGGCTCTCCGGGGTTTTTCTCTCCTTTTTGAGCCGTTTAGCTTCTTCATTTCAGATGACTTTGCCACGGGGCGCCATGCCCATCCCAGCACGTGCTGCCGGGGCATCCTTTGTACCTGCTTGGGAAGAAAAGGAACATCTTTGCATCCTCTTCACAGTGAAGTGAGGCCCAGTTTGCAGTACACAAGTAACCATTGGGGTTTTTGTTGGGTTTTTTTTGTTTTTTTTTTTTTGCTTTTCGTTTTTTTTGTTGGTTGATTTGTTTTATTTTTTAACTTTCGATATGAAACATTCCTTTTTTTATTAGTCACGGTCATGTATTCCATTCCATTCTTCCTTTTGTAAACTTTTTTGGGCCCACGTTCTTTTATGGGCATTGATATATATAAATATATATATAAATATATATGAATATATTTTTTTAAGTTTCCTACACCTTGAGGTTGCATGGTCTGTAAGGTTGGCATGTCTTTATATTGTATACAGATTTTGCACGCCAAACTTGGCAGCTTTGAAAATGATGATGAAAAAAAAAGTTACAAAAACAAAAAAAAAGTAAGAGGTGGTTTGGGGGTTTTTTTGGGTTGGTTTTTGTTTTGTTTTGTTTTTTTATATTGGTTTTGTTTTTTCTTCTCGTGGCATTTGCGGAGATTAAAGGTTGGGATATTGTTGTCACACACACACACACTCACCCACACAGCGACACACAAAGGAAGGAGAATGGGAATTCTTTTTTTGGTTTTTTTTGGTTTTTTTTTGGAGTCTTATTGAACTTAATGAGAAGAAATTGTGCTTTTTGTTGTTCAAAAGAGTAAATTTAAAAAGAAAAAAGGACTACTTAAACATTTCTCATTTTAAGAAGAAAAGAAACTAAGACGTTTATCTAGCACTTGTGAGTTACCAATAATAGAGTTTATTGTATTTATGTGGAAACAGTGTTTTTAGGGGAACTACGCCGAACACACCAAGTAAACTGCCTGTGTCGTTATTATTATTATTATTGTTATTATTTTCCTTTGGGTTGGTGTTTTCTCGCTTTGATTTTTCGGCTGGGTGGGGAGGTTGGGCGCGAGCCTTGTGTCCACGCACGGAGCCGTTCATTCCGAGGAGCCGGACGGATGGATGATGGATGGATGAGGAGGAGGACTTTCAAGAGTTAACTCTTCAGCACAGCTGCGTTAACTTTTTTAAGAAATTACTTTTCCATGATGTATTATTGCTCGGTTTCACTTTAAGCAGTCGTGTACTGTGCAACACTGTGGTTTAAAAAATGAGACTTTACCGCGAAAGGCAAAACGTGTTTCTTCATTGTCGTGAAGTCGGGCTCGTTCTCAGCCCCGTCTTCAACTTTGTCTTTGATATTGATGATGAAAAGAAAAAAAAAAAAAAAAAGAAAAAAAGTATCCTATTGAAAGAAAATAAATTAACACTTTTTTCTGTGCTCCATAGTGGAGGCGCTATTTTCCAATTTATGAGGATGACAAACTTATATATATAATATATATATAAAAGTGGGGGTGGGGAGGGGGGCGAAGGGGTTGAAACATTATTCACCCGAGAGCTTATTACAGATATGTAGTATCAAAAAGTTGTAACTATATTATATTCTACTTTATACTATACATGCTCAGTATGACGTCACCATTGGTAGCAGCTACCGGTTTACCTGTAATTTAGACACAATTTCACTCTTCTTGTACGGACCCTACTTTCAGTGATGGTAGCATTCTTTGTGCTCGGTTTTCCAATGGTCCTTTCTTTTAAATC